CGAATGGAATATTGCGATATGTTCAGCTCAAGAGCCATTTTTCGGTCATTGTAGCGCGGGTTTCGAACAAGTCGCTTCTTTACTTTTCAAATCATTTCTGCAGATGTTGCTGTTTTCTTCCGTCCACTTCCTTGACGTCGGGTTACACTACCAGTATCACGGTAACGAGCGATGGTACTAGACACAAAAGATTTATTCACATTTAAATGCTGGAGTGCTCTAACGATAGCCACTTGTGTTTTTCCAGCCAAATATAAAGAAATCGCTCTATCACGCTTGAATTCCATCACAAATATCTATTTTTCTGGAAAATTCTCACCAAAATGCTTTTGAACGCTTGTAAACAATATAATGAGCTGTCACTGGAATAATTTTAACAGCTGTCGGACGAGTGGCTTAGTAATGACTGCAGTCTGTAGTTGGTTGCAGTTTTTTTATCTCATCCTGTATATAGTTTTCTGCTGCAGGATTTGTATATTTTGCGAGTTTCAAATCACAATATTTGAAACAATTCCGTGGAAAAATATAGTTAAATTCAGCAAAATACAGAATATAGAGAGGTACCATTATATGGGCGCTATAGTGTAGGGAAACCCCAGTACGAATTAAAACTGAATTTTAACGAAAAGACGTAGTGCAAATCCTTAAATAAATTCTATAACAAGTTTGCTTTTCGAGTTCTTCATCTATCCCTTAAACCACTTTACTTTACAATCTCTAAACTCCGCCGTCGATAGCAATTTACAAACTGGAATAAAATATTTCGAATAAAACCCCAACTTTTTTGTCCCTCACATCGCAGAAAATGTCAATCGAATTGCTGCCAATCTAAACTCCAACTGTCTCCAGACACTGGTTGTCTCTGACTTTATTATGTTTTAATTGTGATTGCCATTTGCGACGTACAAGGCAAGCAGAAAGGCAGACAGACCGATAATGACGCTGTTGCAACTATGCTGTGCTGCACCTGAATGATCGAACGTTTAAAAAGTGGGACACGAAGAAATTCCGTTTTTTTTTTTTTCTTTTGTCCAATGACAACGAAAGTAATTTGGCCAGTTTAGACCAACATTCGACTGGATTCGAGGAGGACAACCAACCACGAAGAGTGTGTTTGTGACTTGTGATGTGAAATATGATGCGATACAGACCAGAATAACGGCCCGACAGTCAGCCCCCTTGGTCAACACTCTTGGGAGGTTTGACAAAAAAAAAAAAATAAACCAAAAAAAAAAAAAAAAAAAAAACAGACAAAACTTTGTTTTGAATTATGTTTGCTTTTTGTTGACCATCGTCAAGTTCGATTTGGTTTTTATAGAAATGAAAAGTTGATCGGTAATCCAAGTCCAGGTTGGAATGGCGATGGTTTTCAAATAATTTCAAGACAACTTTTCAATGAAAATGATGTTAAACGCAGTATGAGGTATATATTTTGGTCGTTTTGGTTTGATAGGTTTGAACTTTTTCTGGTTGTGTGTGTTTGTGAGTTTTATTTATTCTTAACAATTATCGATTTTTTTGGAGAGGCCGGTTCATGTGGAGCATACATTTCACTTTTAATTCAATTACACATATGGGTGCATACAAACGTTTTTCAGAAGATTTTTAAAACTACAATCACCGAATTTTCGAAAATACATACTTTCCCAAAGACTATCAATGCCTAAGTCGCATATTATTTTTCAAGGATTATGAGAGCCTTAAATATCGATTTTCAAATATATTTTTTTCAAGGATTATCAGAGCCTTAAACGTGGATTTTTTAAACATATATTTTCAAGGATTATGAGAGCCTTAAATATCGATTTTCAAATATATTTTTTTCAAGGATTATCAGAGCCTTAAACGTGGATTTTTTAAACATATATTTTCAAGGATTATGAGAGCCTTAAATATCGATTTTCAAATATATTTGTTTCAAGGATTATCAGAGCCTTAAACGTGGATTTTTTAAACATATATTTTCAAGGATTATGAGAGCCTTAAATATCGATTTTCAAATATATTTTTTTCAAGGATTATCAGAGCCTTAAACGTGGATTTTTTAAACATATATTTTCAAGGATTATGAGAGCCTTAAATATCGATTTTCAAATATATTTTTTTCAAGGATTATCAGAGCCTTAAACGTGGATTTTTTAAACATATATTTTCAAGGATTATGAGAGCCTTAAATATCGATTTTCAAATATATTTTTTTCAAGGATTATCAGAGCCTTAAACGTGGATTTTTTAAACACATTTTTCTAAGGACTATTCAAAATACAGCCCTAAATTGAATTTTTTAACATATTTTTCCAAGGACTACTCAAAATACGGCCCGAAAGTGAATTTTTTACACATATATTTTTCAATTATTATCGCAGCCCAAAGCGTGATTTTTTTCAAGGATTATCAGAGCCTTAAACGTGGATTTTTTAAACATATATTTTCAAGGATTATGAGAGCCTTAAATGTCAATTTTCAAATATATTTTTTTCAAGGATTATCAGAGCCTTAAACGTGGATTTTTTAAACATATTTTTCTAAGGACTATTCAAAATACAGCCCTAAATTGAATTTTTTAATATATTTTTCCAAGGACTAATCAAAATACAGCCATAAAATGAATTTTTTACACAAATATTTTTCAATGATTATCGCAGCCCACAGCGTGATTTTTTTCAAGGATTATCAGAGCTTTAAACGTGGATTTTTTAAACATATTTTTCAGGAATTATCAGAGCTTAAAATGTGGATTTTTTTTAAATGTTTTTTAAGGATTATCAGAGCTTAAAACGTGGATTTTTTTGAATATATTTTCTCATATATATATATATATATATATATTTTATCAAGGATTAACAGAGCCATACGTGGATTTTTTAAACATATTTTTCAAGGATTATGAGAGCCTTAAATGTGGGTAATTAAACATTATTTTCTCAAGAATTATCAGAGCCTTAAGCGTTGATTTTTTAAAAAAATATTTTTAAAGTATGGAGGGTACATTAAGTTTGTCCTTCCGTTCGTAACACCTCGAAATATACATTTTAAACCCCACAAAGTATATATACAGGGTTGCCCATATTCGACGGACCTTTGGGTCCTTTGGGCCCATTCCAATCGACGAGGCTTGTCCGCAGGCAACATTCTTTGCGTCAATTGAATTTTTGTACGGAACAAATGCAAATCAATGCGAATAATCCGTTGAAAAGTGGACCGAGCCATGCCCAACTGCTGAGAACGGCGTTTTTGGGATGTTCTTGGGGACCTCTCAACACTGGCTCGTACGGCAGCGATATTCTCGGCCGATCGTCTTAGTCGACTTTTACATGGCCTCTTCGGATTAGAAAGAGCCTTACCAGTCGAAAATTTTTCGTATAAACGCTTAATAGTGTTCTTAGAAGGCGCACTTCTCACATTTTTTAATGTTTTAAAAGCACGTTTAGTTTTCACAATTGGCATCTTCTGTTGAATGTAAATTTCAGAGCGCTCGCGTGGACTGACGCTTCAAACGCGGTATGTCATTAAGCGATGTGACATCTCTGTCAGAAGTTATGGCGTTGCCAGATGGGTCCGTCGAATATGGGCAACCCTGTATTCTTGATCAGCATAAAATTCTATGTCGATTTAGCGATGTCCGTCCGTTTGTCCGCCTGTCCGTTTACCCGTCTGTGGAAATCACTCTAGCTTCCGAACAAAATAAAGTAGAGTGATAAAATTTTACCCAAATGTATATTATGTCTGCAGGACTTTTGGTATTGAAAATGGGTCATGTAGGTCTACGTTTTAGTATAGCCCCCATAAAGTACCGCTATATTCGGTATTTTGATGATTTTAGCGACGTTAGTCACCGGAATTGTATTAAATTTGGTATTTGAAGTTCGAAATGAATACTACAGCCTAAGACAGAAAATTATCTGTGCAAGTCCCCGTCTTCGTATAGCTCCCATATAACGGTACCTCCCGATTTTCGGTACTTTGTTGATTTTAGCGACGTTATTCACGGGAATTGTTTTAAATTTGATATTTGAAGTTCGTAACGGAAACTACAGCCTAAGACAGGAAATTCTCTGTGCAGGTTCACGTCTTCGTATAGCCCCGATATAACGGTTCCTCCCGATATTCGGTATTTTGATGATTTCAGCGACACTATTCACCGGAATCATTTCAAATTTGGTATTTGAAGTTCGTAACGGATACTACAGCCTAAGACAGGAAATTGTTTGTGCAGATCCACGTCTTTGTTTAGCCCTCATATAGCGGTACCTCCCGATATTCGGTATTTTGATGATGTTAGCTACATTATTCACCGATTTTTTTTAAGTTTCGTATTCGAATATTGTAATGGCATATGGCAAAAGTTACCTACGCAGGTCCGTGTCGTCGTATAGAGCCTAAAATAACATCTGCATTCGGTATTTTTAAGATTTTAACAGATTTTTAACGGATTTTATTGTTTTTGAGAATTGCCAAATTCGTTCCAAATTGTGAAGGGTATTTAAAGTTCGGCCCGGCCGAACCTAAAGCTATTTTACTTGTTTAATTATATTTTCCTGGGATTAATCGAGCCTTAAACGTGATTTTTTAATCATAGTTTTTTAAGGATTATCCGAGCCTTAAACGTGGATTTAAACATATTTTTTAAGGATTATCAGAACAATAAGTGGATATCTTTTTAATGAAAACACCCATATCAATAATGTAACATACATGCCATCGATACTTACCCACTTGCCAAAGGCGTGTAACCAATGTTTTTATTTTCTTTTTTCTGTTACTTGTTTGTTGTTGTTTTTTTTTCATTTAAACACATTTGGTCAACAAATTAGAAAGTAAAACTGCAAAAAAAAGTTGAAAATGATACATCAACAACAACAACTGCCAAAACAGTAACGTATTTTTGATACATGGATTTATGAAGAAAAAACTACGAAAACTTCTTTAATTTTATATTTGAGATGAGATTTTCTCTGGACTAAATCTCTTGGGTGAATATCGGGTTTTGGCCAAAAATATATTTTTTATATTTTGAGTAGTCTTTATTATTTTAAATATTGTTAATTTTTTCCATTAAAATTAGCAAACATGTGTACGGTTGTTGGTTGGTATTTTAGGCTATGTATGTAATTATTAAATTTGTTGTTTTTCTTCTTCTTCTTAATTTTACTAATAGAAACAGCATAAATAAATATACAATACTATACAAATGAACAAAGACTGAATTAGAAATATTTGCACTGCCAAGGCCAGTAGTAGCAAAGGTTTTATAATGCCCACAATCATGGGAACAAACATTCTTTTCTATTCACGGATAAATTCCCGTCGTACGGATATGGGGGATTATATAAATACGGCTGTGTATGTGTGTTCCCTCTCTGTTTTCGAATTTACTCCTGTACCGTAAATGTCAATTGTTTGCTACGTGAACTTTCAAAACGATTTGGTGTCTTAATATCCATTAGGGCCAAAATACCAATCGACAGTATGCCAACCAAGAATAGGGTTACCAAAACACCTGCCCATATGGGGGCAGTGGTAAAACCTATGCAATCGTAGACATCGCCGAAACGCTCAGCACCATCCAACCAGGGTTGAACCTGAAATAGACAACACATTTTCAATTTATTAGTAAACTAATAAAAAAAACTAATATATTTTTCTCTCTCTTCTCACCTGGTAATCTTTCAACACCAGCGTATCATTTCCATTGGTAAACTCTAAATGTCGGGCCGAGCATCTATAGGAGAATTTAACGGGGGCCGATGGTATATCGTACTCACGTCCCACAACTGTTAACACAGTTTCGTATTCTTTGTGACGCACCTCGACTGCCTTCATTGCCCATGTTCCATATTTGAGAGTGAAGTTAAAACGCAGTGTTACCTTCTCATCATCGACCTTGAAAATAACACTCAGGCGTCCATAACCCTTGGACCTCTGATCATCGAATGTTATCTCTTTGGTGTGTTCCTTCAGCAGTAGTTTGGTGTGATTAATATGCAACTCAGGGGCGGCATTGACATTCAAAACGGCTTTTCGACCTGAAATCATTAATTATACAATAAATTGATTGGAATCTGTAAAAGTTATGCCACAGAGTTTTATGGACGCTCTTCCACATTTGTTGAAATTTTGCAATTAAAATTCCTGGGAATTCTTCCATTTTAAGTAGCTACTTCAAAGCTTAAAGTATTAGCTTTGAAGTACCTACTTAAAGTGGAAGAATTCCCAGGAATTTTAATTGCAAAATTTCAACAAATGTGGAAGAGGGGTAAGCGCCCATATTTAATAATTTATAGGGTCATAAATAATATACAGGGTGAGGTGAAAAAACTGCAACCAACTGTGTCTGACTGCTGTCATTTCTAAGCCACTCGTCTGACAGCTGTTAAAATTATTTCACTGTCAGCTCAATAAATTGTTTACAAGCGTACAAAAGCATTTTGGTGAGAATTTTCCAGAAAAAAAGTTGTTCATGATGAAATTCAAGCGTGATAGTCTGATTTCTTTATCTTTGGCAAGTGGCTATAGTTAGAGCACTCCAGCAGTTAAATGTGAATAAATCTTTTGTGTCTCGTACCATCGCTTGTTACCGTGATACTGGTAGCGTGGCTCGACGTCAAGGAAGTGGACGGAAGAAAACAGCAATATCGGCAGAAATGGTTCGACGCGGGTTTCGACTAAGTCGAAAAAATCAAGTGGGCGAAAAATAGCTCGTGAGCTAAACATATCGCAATATTCCATTCGGCAAATATTGAACAATGAGCTCGGGGTAAAGCCATTGAAATTCCAAAAAGTTCAAGAACTTACACCGCAACAGAAATAAAATATACCCAAAAGAGCTAAAGAGTTACTCCGGTTGGCCGAAAGTGGCAAACTGCCGAATTTTTTTTCACCAATGAGAAAACGTTCGTTGCCAAGCAGTTTGTAAAAAAACAAAATGATCGTGTTTACTTGCCAAAGAGGTCAGCTGAAAATGTGCACCTTCGGTTGGCCACCAGAACTCAAGCGCCGGTCATGTTGATGTTTTTGGCCGCCATAACAGCGAGCGAACACCGCTCTCCGCTCGTATTAATCGACCGTGGCATCAGAATAAATGCCGAATATCATTGCGAAAATATTCTGTAGGGTGTATTAAGCAAACATTTTGGCCGCAGACCTTGGACATTCCTTCATTTCCAGCGCACAATGGCCGCCAAAATCTCCGGATATCAATCCGTTGGTCTATTGTTTCTGGAGTATTTTAGAAAACAAGGTTGGCATTAAAAAATACCAAAGTGAAGATCACCCCAAGCAAGCGCATCGCCGGGAATGGACTAAAATACCGCAGAGGGCAGCGTGTGACTGTATCATTGGCAGTTTGAAGGCCATAATTCGCGACAAAGGTGACCAATTCGAACAAATCTAAACTTATTCTAAAATTTAATGCTATTTCCGACATTTTTTGATTTCATTCCATAAAATTGTAAAAGTTTATGCGTTTGACTTTGTTGCAGTTTTTTATCTCACCCTGTACATATTGAACTCTGCAATTTCAAATTAGATCTATGTTGAATAGACACCACCGTTGGGTTATTTTTTTCTGGGTGCTATATCAAAACTTGGCTTGAAGAAAATAATTGTTTAGATTGTGATGTGTCCAAACAAGCTTACATTAATAATATATTGCAGACATACGAGTAAATCTGATTAAGGATAATAATACGGCAGAACATACGGAGAGAGATTAAATGCCTTTCGACCTTTCGTAGTTCCATCGCCCTCCATATAAATTCCAATACATACCATTTGCTACATAAATGTAATTATCTTCAAATTCCTCAGGACCTGGTGGGGAAGCGGTGGTACTGGCACCCTCCTCAACCTCGCTTTCGCCGGCAGCACGTTTGGCAATAAAATGAGCGTCTTCTTCACGGCTAGTTAAGATTCCCAAAACTTCACCCTCACCATAAATGGACACAGCATCAGTAAAGCCACCAACAATTTCCGAATCACTCTCCTCAATGGGGCCACTTAAACCAATAACCTTTCGTTATCCAACAACAACGCCACCAAACGTTAACCGAGTAAAAAGAAGAAGAAGAAGAAAAAAATTGAATATTATACACACTTTTTCACAACAAACTGTTATACCTCTATATTGGCATTATAATTGAATGGATCGGCCAATAGGGAATGCTGTGGCAAATATGACCAGGCATTATTTCGTATCAATTGTTGGAATTTCGGATACTGCTGACCATTCAGAGGTTTGCTACTGTTACGGACAAATATCACTATGGCTTTGGCATCACGAAATAGTTCGGATAATTGATTTTCACTGGCTTCCAACAGGGCTCGAGGTTGTAGATTTATGACTTTTTCATGACCCCACAGCAGATATGGGCCATTTATGTTGGCTGTAGTTAGCGTTACTAATCCTACCAGCAGTGCCGTCAAATAAAATAGTTTCATTATTTAAAAATACTTCTATTTTCTTTATTTTTAGAATTTGTATTTGAAGAAATTGCGAAAAAGTTTCTTTGAACACTTCTGAAATGATTTGAGACTAAAACGGGAATGACACCTAAAAAGTGTATAACAGATTTTTTCCGAAGAGAGCCAATGTCATCCCTTGTGTTGATGGGGGACAGTGAGTGAGTGAGCAGGCGCCGAAAATGCAGCTGTTTGTGTTTTTTAAACAGCTGTTTCTTGTCATCATTTTTAGGGGTGTTTTGTATGAAATTAGAGGAAAACATCTGGTCAATTAGCGCATGTTTCTTTGCTCGTTTCTGTCATGTCAATAATAAATCCGTTATTTAAATGTGCTGTATACACTGAGCGAAAAAGTACATGTATGACTAATTTTTATACCATCCACCATGGTATGGAGGGTATATTAAGTTTGTCATTCCGTTTGTAACACATCGAAATATACATTAGACCTTCGCAATATGGACCCCACTCTCTAGCTTCCAAACGAAATGAAGTAGATTGATAAAATTTGTATATTATGTCTGCAGGACTTTTCGTATTATATTATTATTATTTTAGTATATCCCCCACATAATGGTACCATCCGATATTCGGCATTTTTATGATTTTAGCGCCATTATTCGCCGGAATAGTTTCAAATTTGGTATATGAAGATCAAAGTTCGGCACCTTCCGATAATCGGTACTTTGCTGATTTTAGCGACATTATTCACCGGATTTGTTTTAAAATTTGGTATTTGAAGTTCGTAATGGATACTTCAGCATATGATGGAGATTGTCTGTGCAGACCCACGTCTTCGTACAGCCCCCATATAACGGTATCTCCCTATATTCGGTATTTTGATGATTTTAGCGACTTTATTCAAGGGAATATTTTTCAAATTTGGTATTTGAAGTTCGTAATGGATACTGCAGCCTATGAATGAAATTTGTCTGTGCACGTCCACATTTTGGTAAAGCCCCCATATAAAAGTACCTCCCTATATTGATGATTTACGCTACATTATTCACCGAGTTTCGCATTTGAATATTATAATGGCTTATGAAAAAAGTTGCCTATGCAGGTCCACGTCGTCGTTTAGACCCTAATATGACGGCTACATTTGTTATTTTTAAGATTTTAACAAAATTTTTAATGAATTTTATTTTTTTGAAAATTGCCAAATTCGTTTCAAATTGTGGAGCGTATTCGGTCCGGCCGAAGTTACATCTTTTTTACTTGTTTGTTTCGTACTGTAGATATATCTGTTCGTTACTTGTTACAGGGTCAGGGTTAAGACATAAATTTTAAGTACACCAACATTGTGCTTATAGTATGATAACACTGTGTGACAAAATTATTTTTTTTTTTTTTCAATAATTACGTGGTGTAAATCCAGCATATTATGAAACTAGAGCTAAAACATAAGACACGTGAATCTGCGTTTTGTTATTTTGCATCGCAAGTATTCTAAATAGAAGGCTGAACTCCCTCTTCTAAACTTTTGGAAATTGGAATATTTTGAAAATTTATTTGTATTATAATTCTACTATAGGTCCTAGATGACATAAAATATCTATATCTTACCTAAAACGCCTGGAATTCATGTTAGATAAAAAAACTGCAACAAAGTCAAACGCCATAATTGTTACATTTTTTTTAAATTTTATTGAATGAAAGCAAAAAATGTCGGAAATACCCTCAAATTTTAGAATGAGTTTAGTTTTGTTCGAATTGGTTACCTTTGGCACGAATTATGGTCTTCAAACGTCCAATGTAACCGTCACAAGCTGCTCGAATGTTGCTCTGTGGTATTTTGGCCCATTCCCGGCGAAGCTCTTGCTTGAGGTATTCGACACTTTGGTATTTTTTAGTGCCAACCTTGCTTTCCAAAATATTCCAGAAAAAATAGTCCAACGGATTGGTATCTGGAAATTTTGGTGACCATTGTGCGCTGGCTGTGAAGCGAGGAACTTCATTTTGTAACCATCCTTGGTTGGCGCGTGCTGAGTGCGATGGTGCTGAGTCCTGTTGGAATGTCCAAGGTCTGTGGCCAAAATGATTGCGTGCCAAGGCTTTAATACACCCTCCAGAATATTTTCGGAATAATAATCGGCATTTATTCTCATGCCACGGTCGATTAATACGAGAGGAGAGCGACCATCATCTCTTATGGCGGCCCACACCATCACCATCGCCACTTCATCACTTTCGGCCAAGCGAAGCAACTCTTTAGCTCTTTTGAGTCTATTTTCTTTCTGCTGCGGTTTAAGTTCTTGCACTTTTTGCAATTTCAATGGCTTTACCCCGAGCTTATTTTTCAATGTTTGGTGAATGGGATATTGCAATATGTTCAGCTCACGATCCATGTTTCGGCCACTGCGACGCGGGTTTCGATCAAGTCGCTTCTTTTCTTTTCAAATCATTTCTGCGGATGTTGCTATTTTCTTCCGTCCACTTTCTTGACATCGGGCCACGCTACCAGTATCACGGTAACGAGCGATGGTACAAGACACAGAAGATTTATTCACATTTAAATGCTGTAGTGTTCTAACGATAGCCACTTGTGGTTTTCCAGCCAAATATAAAGAAATCACACTATCACGCATGAATTTCATCGCGAATAACTTTTTTCTGGAAAATTCTCATAAAAATGCTACGCTTGTACGCAATATAATAAACGGTAACTGGAATAATTTTAACAGCTGTCGGATGGCTTAGAAATGACTGCAGTTTGAAGTTGGTTGCAGTTTTTTCATCGCAATCAGTCCGCAAAAGAGAACATTTAAGAGAAAATTAATATTCTATTTTTCTTTGTGTTCTGCGATTTATTTCAATTGATTTAGATATTAAGTTGGTCCATGTCCATTAATAAAGCTAATAATTAGCAATAAAGAAATAAATAATGTTTAACACTGATTTGTTGATGATTTCTAAAGAGAAATTGGCTGGTGAGTGGGCTCTTGTTCTTGAGCAGCGTTGGTATATGTAACATAAATTTAAAACCCATCTGGTGAAATCCAAATTATTTTTCCCTTATAAACTTACGCCCCATTTTTTTGTGGATTTTCAGGCTAATACAAGATTTCCAATGAATAAGGAGAAAGTGGTCTTAATTTTTAATTTAAAACAATTTTTATTATTCACAGTTAATGGTAAATAAATAAAAAAAATATATATTCGATATAGTCTGTGGTGTAGTTATAAATTTCAATTAATTAACGCTCTTGCTACGAGTAGAAGTACCAATAGACACGCCACATTTTTTTGTTAGTGATTCTAAATATTTTCAATTTTTAACATCACGTACACAAACTTTCCACAGATAAAAACATTTCAGTGTACAAAGTCTTCCGTCTTCTGCTAAATATCAGACCTTCCGACACTTCAACAGTTTCCGCTGTTTCAATCAAACGAAAAAACACCAAAGTTATTTGTCCTCTTTTCACCTGGCTATTTGGGTCACTTGATCATCTTCTAATAACTTTCGTTCATACATAACTCAATTATAGTTCACTGACACTTAGACTTGTTGGCCACAAACGCTTTCATAATCATCACCAACATCATCATTGAGGCGTAACCACATCGATTGCATTGGATACTGCTACAGAAGGAAGTTGCTACACCTGATTCTGAAGTAAGAATACGTCATTCGAATAGATTTTGTCATGCCGCTGGTAAGCAAGACGTAGCCGTTGTTTTCGTTGCAAGTTTTCTCTTCTCTCGGTTGCACATTTCATCTGTTACAAGCGCACGCACACACACATCGGCCGCTGCAGCATTCGTGTTGTCATTGTCATGTTGTGTGATTTGTGAAAGTTGTTATCGAACTAAGCAACCTGTAGTTGTTCGATATGTTAGATGTGATGTTATGTCCGACCGTCGGACAAAAAAAAAAAAAAAAACAATCAGTGGTCTATTGGGTGCAGTGAATAAAGTTAATATCGAAATCTCAAAATAAAGAAAATTGACGTCTCTAATTTTTTATAGGAACGAAATGCCACCTCAGAAAGAGTGAGATCTTCTCAGTTAAATTGAGGTCGCCACAACTTTTTAAGAAATTGCTAGAGTAAATCTGAGGTGAGGAACATTTATTTTGTTCCAGGACGAACCTTAGTGGAATTGGAAATAATCGGTCAAAATTTAGATATAGCTCCCGAATACAGGGTGAGATGATATAACTGAAACCAACTTCAGACTGCTGTCATTTCTAAGCCACTCATCCGACAGCTGTTAAAATTATTCCAGTGACAGCTTTTTATATTTTTTACAAGCTTACAAAAGCATTTTGGTGAGAATTTCCTGAAAAGAAGTTATTCGTGACGGAATTCAAGCGTGATAGTGTGATTTCTATATATTTGGCTGGAAAACCAGAAGTAGCTATCGTTAGAGCACTCCAGCATTTAAATGTGAATAAATCTTTTGTGTCTCATCGCATCGCACATTACCGTGATACTAGTAGCGTAGTCCGAAACGGATGGAAGAAAATAGCAACATCAGCAGAAATGGTTCGAAAAAAAAACAGCGACTTGATCGAAACCCGCGTCGCAGTGCCGAAAAATGGCTCGTGAGCTGAACACATCGCAATATTCCATTCGGCAAATATTGAAAAATGAGCTCGGGGTAAAGCCATTGAAATTCAAAAAAGTCCAAGAACTTACACCACAAGAGAAAGAAAATAGACTCAAAAAAGCTAAAGAGTTGCTTCGATTGGTCGAAAGTGGTGAACTGCCGGATTTGGTTTTGTCCGATGAGAATAAATTCGTTGTCCAGCAGTTTGTAAACAAACAAAATTATCGTGTTTACTTGCCAAAGAGGTGAGCTGAAAATGCACATCTTCGGTTGGCCACCAGAACTCAAGCGCCAACCACTGCGATGGTGTGGTCCGCCATAACAGCCGATGGTCGCTCTTCGCTCGTATTAATGGGTGTATTAAAGCCTTGGGCACGCAAACATTTAGGCCGCAGAGCTTGGACTTTCCAACAGGACTCAGCACCATCGCACTCAGCACGCGCCACCCAAGAAAGGTTCCTCGCTTCATTTCCAGCGCACAATGGCCACCAAAATCTCCGAATATGAATCCGTTGGACTACTGTGTCTGAAGTATTTTGGAAAGCAAGGTT